AAACATAACAGTATAGTACTGCTGTCTGCTGGAATAAAGATATGATGTAGCAAATGTAATCTTACTAATTATGTCATCCATAAGCATCAAATCATGTAACCTTTTCCAAGTAAGATTCAAAGTTTTTATGACAATGTGTATATAGATGATCTGGGTTAATCTGTCATGTAGTACAATGGCCGTGTGCCAAACATTTCTGAGGAAAATACCGCCTCCGACATTAGGGCTGAAGCGAAAGCACTGGGAAGTAGATGATTTATGTAACAACAGAGAATTTATTAGGCCATGGGGATGAAGGGGCATAATGGATACATGTCCAGACTAATAGATAAAAGATATTTTCAGTGCACCAGAAAGAAAGAGCGGGACAAAAATTTTAAAAATATTTTTTATTCTTTTTCACAAAATAGCAGCTTCATCTACATATAAGCATCCATAAATAAACTCAAGAGACATAAACTATCTTAATATAGTGGTAGTTATAAAAATGTTTTGTTCATCTCTAGCCCCAAAATTTGCTAAAGTGTTAATTTTATTTTAGTAAACTTTAATTTTCATTTCAAGTGCAGTAAGTTCTTGACAAAGAAATAATAAAGTAATAGTCTTAATCTGTAATACAAAATAATTTCATAGTGTGGACATTGTTGTGTTAACATAAGTCAATATTACATTTTAAAGGTGCAAAGTATGTATTGTGTAGTGAAAATGACACTGTAACTAATTTCATAAATAGTGTGGAAAATTAATGTAGCTGATGTCATCGGAAGATTATGAAAATTATGAACTTGAACATGTAATTAGGCTACCTCATGCAGGCTTGTGTGGTGTTAGCAGCAATAAATCTAAAAATAAAATGCCCACTACCAATAGCCAAATGTTTTACTGTTTTTAACCTTGATATTTACCAGAATGGCAAAAGTTCGCAGCTGAACTCTTTCCTGAGATAGATCAAGCCATTCTACATTAGTGCACGCAATTTCCCAAAAATCAGTTTTATGTTACGTCCCTATTCCTTACATTCTGATAATCTATTTTCATGTGATTTCTTCATCAAAATTCTGTAATGTTGTCTGATCCTGCTGTACATATAATATGTCTAACTAATCTTAATTTTCATAATCGTATTATTGTAATAAATAATTTGTATTATTTTCCAATGACACCAGCATATAAACTCCGTAAATGCCCAAGTATTTCAGTGAAATATGGTTGTAGTTGTTTAATATGGGCATTGCAAAAAGGAACAGTATATAGCTGAGATTAATATCAAAAGATGTGCAAACATTTCTGCAAGTTGATATAAATCTTCATATAATATATGTATATAATATGATGTTACTGGTACTATATCACCTACAGTTACTATATTTAAGAGTTATTAATTTATATAGCAACGAACATGTTATGTGTAAATGCCAGAAGAATATTGCACAGAAGTATTGTTGACTGTAGTTCAGTAGGCATGCAGGTTTGTTGTAAAATTTCTGGAGCTGTCACAGAGGAAAAGTTGACTTCACAAGCATGCTATGCACAGGTATGGTAATTATCTTTCAGTAGTGTTTATTTTGTCTGGTTTGAGGAACTCTCAAAGAGACACTCACATTTATTGTACCAAGGTACATGTCACACGCGAAGTACATTATTCCAGAATCTATATTGAATACCAACATTTGTGGAAGAAAAATGTATTTGGTCTGTCATATTTCATAAACATTATTTCCTTTGTAAGAAAATTATGAAAGCACTTCACAGTTTACTTGAACTTTTACATTTGCTGTAATTATTAAGTATCTCATTTAACAGTAGACGGATAAATCATGTGACTATACCAGCTCACCGCAACACAATATCACACAAGAATTACCTTACCTGATGCAATACAGCACTAAGTAACTATTAGAAATAAGAATGCAGGTACACCTCCTCATGACTATGAGCCAAGATGACATTTTTCATATATTTAGTTCCTAGGGATTAGCACTTGGGTGTTGTAACTTTACAGAAACTGCTCTAGTGCATATTTATTTTTTTGTGTTATTATGCTTACATATAATGGCAAATATCAGCAAATTAAAAATTTCACTGTGACCATAGTATGACAAATTTTGGCTAAATAATAATGTCCAAACCTGGTGTGGCCAAACTGAGGAGTTTATTGTCTTTATTTATTTTATGGTTCTTATTAATCAAGGGGCAAGAAATTACCAATACTTTTCTTCAAAATTAGTTAAACTGCTGTCTATATTTAAACCATTCTTCAAAGCAAATTAAATACTTAACAGTTGGGGGAGGGGGGGAGAATTATTTAATAACCAACTTTTTAGTTCACTAATATTTCACTTCTTTTAAAATTTACTGCAAATAAAATACTTAATGTTTGCTTCTAAAGGTAGCTAAGTTATTTTTTTTAAAGATGGTTGTCTTCTGGGTTGCAGTCTGATAGAAGTTTACAAATGTTTCAGAGGTGATAACTTATCACTCTGATCACAGAGGCAAAATGGACCTCTGAAACATTTCTAAACTTCTACCGGAGTACGTGGTGCTACAACCCAGAAGATAGTCATCTTTGTACTTAATGTTGTGAAAACCTCAAATTCTAAAAATTATTTTTTGGTTTATGTTTAAACTGTAATACTGATTTTGATCTTATTATTTACAGTAACAATTGAAATATGACAGATGTGTTCAGTGTGATATCTTATATCTGTGACATAGAAAAAAATTTATTTTGTGTAAAAATGTGATAATTTCTTGTCTTTTACTGGCAGATGTTGCCTGCAGTTATCAGTTGCACTATCATTCATGTACACACACAAAACACTAAAAACAATTCAAATTGTTATTTTTTATTTTTGTTTTAGCTGAATTTCCCATTCTTGCACTCTGCTGCACTTTCTCTCAAGTTTCTGTTTCTGTTTTACATATTCTTCGTCTCATAGTGTTTTAGGAGCTGCCCTCTTAGTTTGCTTCATTGAATGGTGAAGGAACAGTATGTGGATGTACAAAGAATGGCCATCTCTTGAGGCTTTCTTATTCTGTTACCCTGCTTTTATATAAATCTTTTTTATTACAATTTTTGTGATGCATTGGAACGTAGGTTTTATGAAGGAACTACGTTGATAATTTAATTAATTAACGTAGAAGATGGAATATAATTTTGGGAAATCTTGAGGAAAATTATGTGAAGTAATTTGAGTTTTCATAAGATAATGCTTATTTAGAGAGTTATTAAAGTTAATTGAATGTAATTTCTAGAAAATGCTGCTTGTAAGTTACTAAGATATTAGATACAAGCAGGGCTCAAAATTTAGGCATCAGCATTTAAGGAGTTAATTTTTATGGTTATACTAACATCTTTCTCCAATTTTATACATGATTTGTACTTGTGAAACACAACCATAAATATGAAAACAGCTACTGATGATTCTGATACATTTAGCGGGGTCTCTAACTAAACAAGAATTTTGTTGGTTCATATCACAGTAAAAGGAAAGTGTATGTATCCCCATATCTTACAAACTAACCCAGTTAAAACAGATAGGACAGATTTTCAAAGCATGCGAACAGAAAACTACCAGAATTGCCACCCATGTGATGAACTGCATTTTAAGAATTGGGACAAACATGGTAGGCTCTTCTTGGGATGTCTCATTTCCATGACTTCTGGTGACAAGAAGTCATGCAACAATAAAACTAGCTACAGAGTTGGAATTTTGAGCCCTGCATATGGGGATTATTTAAGTCTGTTATATAATTACATGCTAAAATATTTACTTGCAATAGTATATCCCTCAGTTTTGGCTTCTTCTATTTTTGTTCTATTATTTATTTTATTCTGTATGTCTCATCCAGAGCCTCCTTTGAGCACTTTGTGCGTGTAAGCCGGGCTGAACGTAGGCGCGCGGAGAAGTTGGTTGGTGGGGGAAGTCTGGGTCGGAGCTTCTCTCGCTCTTGTGCGGGCAGTTTGGCCGGGGAGGGCGGCGCCATGATGCAGGCGGCGGCCCCCGTACAACAACTCGCAGGAAACGAGCAAGAGAAGGAACGCCGACGTGCTAGTCTCAGAGTAAGCCAACACATTCTTCAGTTCTTCTTACATCACTTCTCCCCATCACGCTACAGCTAACTACCTTCACCCTGCTCTCCCTTATAAGCATGCTGCACTGGAAATACTCTCATTGTTGGTTTGCTTCACTTTGTTGACCTGTCTGAAGTATGAATCTGCCCACAGCTCGTTTTTGTCCACGGTTGTGTCAACAAACATGAAATATTAGGCCCTCTAACAGTGCATTCCAGAAGTTTCCATTGTCAGCAACAACCAGACATTATCAGTCAAGCCAAAATCAGCCGAAGAAAGTCTGAAATAAGTGGTGAAGATATATGATTTTTGGACATTGGCCAGCCAATATCTATGATCACCACATATGTGGTAACTTATTTTTCATGCTAGTTAAGCTAATGCTTTTTTTTTTTGTGTGTTCATTACAATCAGCATTGCAATTATGGGAATAAATTTTAAGAACTTAACTGGTGGAAGTTTAGATTTTATGTTGTTCATAGGCATGAGAATATATACAAATTTTGAAGTAGGGGACATATTTTATAGTCTGAATTTGGAAGATAAGTTTCCTAAGTTTATTATTTTGGATTAGTTAAAGTAGCAGTCATAATGTTTTGTAGAAATTATGATGTGTGAAGGTTCTGTATCATCTGGGCCAAGTAATTGTAAAAAAAATTGATCATCAGTTTCAAGGAAGATTTTTTCCAAAGACATTTCACTAAAACATGTTCCTTATTCCCACACCACTGCCAATACCCCATTATAATTTGTCACCTCCCTTTAGGTACAATGTCATATAATCAATTACTGCAGTTAATTTTATAAGTTGAATCCTTTCATAATTTAATAGAATGTTAGTTTTTCCAGGGTTCTAAAACTCCGAGGTATTTCCAGTAATGCAGCCCTTATCCCTGACATGTTTAACCTGCTAATAGCAGTACTTAATGTTGTGAAAACCTCAAATTCTAAAAATTATTTTTTGGTTTATGTTTAAACTGTAATACTGATTTTGATCTTATTATTTACAGTAACAATTGAAATATGACAGATGTGTTCAGTGTGATATCTTATATCTGTGACATAGAAAAAAATTTATTTTGTGTAAAAATGTGATAATTTCTTGTCTTTTACTGGCAGATGTTGCCTGCAGTTATCAGTTGCACTATCATTCATGTACACACACAAAACACTAAAAACAATTCAAATTGTTATTTTTTATTTTTGTTTTAGCTGAATTTCCCATTCTTGCACTCTGCTGCACTTTCTCTCAAGTTTCTGTTTCTGTTTTACATATTCTTCGTCTCATAGTGTTTTAGGAGCTGCCCTCTTAGTTTGCTTCATTGAATGGTGAAGGAACAGTATGTGGATGTACAAAGAATGGCCATCTCTTGAGGCTTTCTTATTCTGTTACCCTGCTTTTATATAAATCTTTTTTATTACAATTTTTGTGATGCATTGGAACGTAGGTTTTATGAAGGAACTACGTTGATAATTTAATTAATTAACGTAGAAGATGGAATATAATTTTGGGAAATCTTGAGGAAAATTATGTGAAGTAATTTGAGTTTTCATAAGATAATGCTTATTTAGAGAGTTATTAAAGTTAATTGAATGTAATTTCTAGAAAATGCTGCTTGTAAGTTACTAAGATATTAGATACAAGCAGGGCTCAAAATTTAGGCATCAGCATTTAAGGAGTTAATTTTTATGGTTATACTAACATCTTTCTCCAATTTTATACATGATTTGTACTTGTGAAACACAACCATAAATATGAAAACAGCTACTGATGATTCTGATACATTTAGCGGGGTCTCTAACTAAACAAGAATTTTGTTGGTTCATATCACAGTAAAAGGAAAGTGTATGTATCCCCATATCTTACAAACTAACCCAGTTAAAACAGATAGGACAGATTTTCAAAGCATGCGAACAGAAAACTACCAGAATTGCCACCCATGTGATGAACTGCATTTTAAGAATTGGGACAAACATGGTAGGCTCTTCTTGGGATGTCTCATTTCCATGACTTCTGGTGACAAGAAGTCATGCAACAATAAAACTAGCTACAGAGTTGGAATTTTGAGCCCTGCATATGGGGATTATTTAAGTCTGTTATATAATTACATGCTAAAATATTTACTTGCAATAGTATATCCCTCAGTTTTGGCTTCTTCTATTTTTGTTCTATTATTTATTTTATTCTGTATGTCTCATCCAGAGCCTCCTTTGAGCACTTTGTGCGTGTAAGCCGGGCTGAACGTAGGCGCGCGGAGAAGTTGGTTGGTGGGGGAAGTCTGGGTCGGAGCTTCTCTCGCTCTTGTGCGGGCAGTTTGGCCGGGGAGGGCGGCGCCATGATGCAGGCGGCGGCCCCCGTACAACAACTCGCAGGAAACGAGCAAGAGAAGGAACGCCGACGTGCTAGTCTCAGAGTAAGCCAACACATTCTTCAGTTCTTCTTACATCACTTCTCCCCATCACGCTACAGCTAACTACCTTCACCCTGCTCTCCCTTATAAGCATGCTGCACTGGAAATACTCTCATTGTTGGTTTGCTTCACTTTGTTGACCTGTCTGAAGTATGAATCTGCCCACAGCTCGTTTTTGTCCACGGTTGTGTCAACAAACATGAAATATTAGGCCCTCTAACAGTGCATTCCAGAAGTTTCCATTGTCAGCAACAACCAGACATTATCAGTCAAGCCAAAATCAGCCGAAGAAAGTCTGAAATAAGTGGTGAAGATATATGATTTTTGGACATTGGCCAGCCAATATCTATGATCACCACATATGTGGTAACTTATTTTTCATGCTAGTTAAGCTAATGTTTTTTTTTGTGTTCATTACAATCAGCATTGCAATTATGGGAATAAATTTTAAGAAGTTAACTGGTGGAAGTTTAGATTTTATGTTGTTCATAGGCATGAGAATATATACAAATTTTGAAGTAGGGGACACATTTTATAGTCTGAATTTGGAAGATAAGTTTCCTAAGTTTATTATTTTGGATTAGTTAAAGTAGCAGTCATAATATTTTATAGAAATTATGATGTGTGAAGGTTCTGTATCATCTGGGCCAAGTAATTGTAAAAAAAATTGATCATCAGTTTCAAGGAAGATTTTTTCCAAAGACATTTCACTAAAACATGTTCCTTATTCCCACACCACTGCCAATACCCCATTATAATTTGTCACCTCCCTTTAGGTACAATGTCATATAATCAATTACTGCAGTTAATTTTATAAGTTGAATCCTTTCATAATTTAATAGAATGTTAGTTTTTCCAGGGTTCTAAAACTCCGAGGTATTTCCAGTAATGCAGCCCTTATCCCTGACATGTTTAACCTGCTAATAGCAGTAGTGGCTCACCTTCTCTTCCCAACACAGTTACAATAACATAACTGAAATACCTGGAAACTCATCATTGATATCTGAAGATCATACAGACAGGAATATAAATTGAACCTAACCCTGCAACAGCTGCAGTCTTCAAGAATTGTCATGCTTTTTTTTATAAAATCTGAATGGCACAAGGATGTCTTTGTGCCAAAGATAAGAATCACAAAGTGTTAAACATTAAATATGTTGCACAGTAGTGACATCTATAGACAAAACATGAAGCATAAAGCCAGATATAACAATTTCAGGCCTGTCAGAACCTGTATCATTGGCTCTGACGGTTCATATGCAGGAAAAGGTTAAATATGAATCGGTCGCATTGTCAGACTTGTTATAATTTCTGATGTTATTGTAACTGTATTGTAGTTTGTAGTAGAATTCTTACCTAGCTTATTAATACAAGTTTTTAAAAGCATGGAAACATAATATTTAAATATATTGTAAAAACATATAATTATTTTATTTGTAGTGTTTTATTTCTCTCTTCTGATAGCTACTCTTGAAGTCTTCCTGTAGCTTATAACACAGCCACTCAGCTATCTTCTTTTAAAGAATAGTGTGTATTTTTCTTTTATTTACCTGCTGTCACTTTAGTCTGAGCACAAAACTGTACACTACAAATTGTAATAAATATTATTTCTAACTAATCAACAAACTCCATGAAGCAGTCAAGAAATTTCTTGCCTTTTTTTGGAATATGTAGTTTCTGCACCCTGTTTACAAGAGCCCACCACTGTATTGTGTATTAAATATTCTTTCAGTATCATGTACTCTTAAAATGGAAAATGTATGGTCCAGAAATAAAGAATACAGGATATTTCGTATGTCATATTTTTTGTGATCAATCTTCAGCATTTTGAACTAAATTAAAAATAAAACTTTGCTTAAACAGATTAGGAATAAAGCTATACCAAGGCATCTGAAGGATTTACTTTATTATAGTTCCATATATTTGTGACCTACAGAAGTTCTTTTTATTAAACTTGTCTGAAAACATTACTTCTAGCCTTAATAATTACTGACAGAGCATCCCAATTGAAAATAAAGTCAGCATTTCTTATGTTAAATGAAAAAGAGAAATGAAATTAATAAGTTAAAACCCATATAACTTCTTATTAATTATATCTGTGGATTTTAACATTAACTTTTCTGATTTTCATAAAGAACATTCTCTGAATGGGTTCCACAAGGGGCAGGAAATTTCTTAATTAGCTGAGAAGCTGTTAGCTGCTTAGGAAGAACTCGGTTCTGCAAAGTTACTTTCTTTTTATTTGTGCTTTGATAATGAACTTATATGCACATGTGAGATAAAAACCATGCTTTCAGAAGCTTGCAATAGTTATAGTGGCTTTGTCCAAATGACCAAAGTCACCCTTAAGAAGAGGTGTGTTGGACAGATGATACAAATATTTATGAAATGACAGTGGTATGATATGCAAAGTTTCTAGGATAAATCCTTTTAAATGATCTGTGTCCTGTATTCAGTCTACATAAGACAATGGATATCTTGAAACAGAATCATATTCCTTCTGATTTATATGTTTTGTTCTTCATCTATGTTGAACTGAGCAAGTAGGTTTAGTGATGATGTGCCTGGCCAGGTTTTCCTTAGTTTTCCCATCATTCAGGGGAATGGCGGGATACAGCATTTAAGTAGGCCAAAACCACTTCCTCCACTATAATTTCAAATTTACTTACATCATTATCTTTGACAGTTAACTTCTGTGCTTAATACTGAGTCCTCTGTTACTTTTTCTTTAACTCCTAATATTCTCCTGATGTCTGAATGGCATTTAGCACCAGCATCCATGTGTTGCAGTTCTTGGTCAATGATGAACTGTCTTCACTCATCTGTCTTCCAGCATTGTTTCACTTTTTAATATATGGATTGCCATCATAATTATGATGGTATTGTTTCATCTTGTAAGAGTTTATGATAAACTGTGTTCGTCTGAAGTTCCATGTCATTTGCTGGAGAAATGTAATGGTAATAATCCTGCACAATCTTGTGATTGTAAAGACTTGTGGTCTTATTCTCCATTTTACTAAGGTGATCAGAAAAAGTCCTGTGGATGGCTGGGATGACAGAAGTTCAGGCTTTCCCCTTTTTGCCTACATTTGTGTTCCCCTCAGGCTCCATTCAGTCTGTCAGCCAGCTCAAGTTCCTTGTCACTAGTAAAGGTATTACCATCAACATTCCTGTCAATATAATGGTCGGATAGCAAAGCATAACTGGAGGAAGATACAGAGATATGAAGGGGGTCGATTCATGGGACTTCTACCTCTAGCCTCAGTGTAATTCTGAGGCAAAAAAGGTCAGAGTATCTAATCCATGGAAGCAGATTATTTTTACACAGCATCTCTGCATGTTTGAAATGTTGGTCAACTTCAATGAAACAAGAGGGCACAGTGTTCCAGAAGGCTGTAATTTTCATACTCACTGCCCTGAGAATGTGAAATCTCACTTAGATCAAGATATTATGCTTAATATTTTGTGTTAAAATATGTTGCTTACAGTAAGGGCCCATATTTCATAACAGCATAAAACAACTAATTTTTTATAACATCATTCAAAATTGCCATAATTCTTTCTTTATTATATTATATCATAAACAGTGGTCACAATGTGAATTTGAAGATTTTTTTATAGTCTCCAGTCTGCAGACAGGACACAGATACTAAATGTAAAACAGTACATAGTATTGATAACCACTAATGCTCTTCAAAGTTATATTAATTTTGAAACATAATTAGAATTTATGCAGTTTTATGGATAGTCCACAACGCAAATTGTAATGGTGTACATCTTAATCACTCCTCATCTTTGGCTTGAGGCTCTGAGGAACCTGTTAGAAGTAATAAGATTGGCTTTTCTCCCTCTCCAGCCAGTCTCAGTATTAACCGCCACTCGGTAGAGTGACAGACACTCTATATGAATATTTCCTTATTAAAGCGAATTGTCAGAAATTTGGAATGTTTCCTATGTAAAGAGTCAGCTTTAAGTGCTTTGCTCAATAATTTGGTGACTTGTGTCCTTTGCATTTTATTTTAGTGTGTTTTTGTTATATATGTGTGTGTGTGTGTTTGGTAGCATTTTCCCAGTATCTGAACTCATTGTCATGATTGACTTTTATCGGCAATGTGTCACTGCTTAAATGCCGTCCAGTTGGCTGTGTGTCACAGTAGCATACCATTAAACTCTGAACACCTGAATTAGACCCCTTTTTCCTGTATGATAAAGGTTAATATTTTGCATTTCTTAGCATGTAATGGAACTTGGCTGTTGTGAACAGTTTGTAAATCTAAAACAGCAAACAGTCTCTTTTTGTGTAATGAACAATTTATCTCACATTAAAAGTGGGCTTTTATCCTACTTTCCTTATTTTTTAAGTAAGGATAGGCAAATTCCATAACAAAAATGTCTGTCTTAATAAATTTCAAACCCACATAAGAGATATTCATGAACTTGATATGTATGTCATGCCACCAGAAGTATCCTACAGTCATTCTTTTTAATTTCCTTCCTTTCATAATACCAATATGGCAGCCATTGAGACCTTTTGAAATGGGTCAGTTCCATTGCTACTTCATGGTGAAATAGATCTTAATAATACTTAATAGATCTTTGAAAAATGTGCAACAGTTGTTGAGGTAATTATTTTGTTTTATGTAAAGCAACATGCCAGATTGTTATACTGTACATACATTTTCTACAATTTTTAGTATTAGAATATCTTGTTAAAAATAACAGTCTCAGTTTCCATACTTAAACCTTTGACATAAAAACAAGTTCAGTCTCTTTACCTTTAATAGCCAACTGTGTACGTGCTTGTTCTGGCTGCATTTGTGTGTGCGCATGCTACATGTACAGTTACATACTTACACACATGCAATAGTGAATTGTGCTGCTGACCAAGGTAGCGCACAGCCAACAGTATTATCAATTTGTAGAGGAAGTGCACGATTCTTTCTCATTACTTGCTCTCAGCCAGTTTACTAACTTGAGAACAGTTGTTAACATTCACTCCATGT